ATTGTTTTTTTTTTTTTTGTCGGAAACGACGCTAGTTATTAACAATTAAAAACAATTTCAACTGCCCATTATACCGAATGTATTGCAAATATGGTAAGGTATGTTGAGACCGAAATTATGTAGGGATGGGTGTCTAGTTCGATTTTAGGTAGCTGGTATTGTTTATATTTATAGTTAAATATAAATAAATATGTTCTCCGGTCTTGCAAGAATCTGGTGAGAATCTTGAGGCCGACAAATGAATTTACGTTCATTAAACCTTTGACAATTATTTTCCATTAGGGAACGGTGAATTTCGTATCAAACAAATTTTCCTAAAGATCTCAGAAAATTGTTTTAAAGGCGATAGCAGGGGAAAACAAAAAAACTTTCATAGTTTCATTTTTCACCAATTTACCACTCATGCTGGTGAAAGAAACACCACTGAAGCACGTGTTCTTTAAGTTCTTATGAACAATATTGAAATTAAGCAAATCGGAAGCCTGAATTCTGCATTCCTTCCCCCAAGGAGGGATAGATTTTTCAAAAGTTTGAACTTAAGCCGAGATTATTTAAACTGAGCTTCATGCGGATCGTATGGTAAGCAAAAAAGATGTATACATAAATTTTTCATGATTTTGCCACACTTGTATAAATTTCCAAAACCCAATCTTGGCATGCACTTTCATCACATGAGTTAACTACGGAGAACTTCCTTTCGGTTTTGGGCCAATCTGTCGGTAAATAAGTTAGGAAAAACAGTTTTATATATAGAGATGATCAGCATTCAAACTAACAACGTAGATTCCGATTGGTTGAACACATGAAAACAAAGATTACGTTTAAAAACGGTTCCTAAGGGAATAACCAACAAATTGTGACGTTTTCTCTTGATACAGAAACTACATTAAGTTGGCATATTGCACATAACATTTAAAATAGGGCATTAAAATATTTTTGTTATGAATGCAATTGGCTGCAGCTGTCTATGGGGGCAGAGCAGTTGGGGGGAGTAATGCATGGTATCAACCTGAGTCCAAGATTGGAAGCTCCACTAGATAAAAACGCTTCAGACCTCAAGCAGATTTATAGTTGTTTAGTTTAATGTCTCTTCTTCTGAACAACAACCTATCAAATCTAACTGTGCAGCTGTTTTAATATGTTTTTGTCTTGGTTTTGAATTTGATAATTATTGTTATATTTAACGTTAATTCTTTTCAGGCACACGCCGTCGGTTTACTCAGCATCTAGTTTTAGAACACCCTATCCCTCCTCATTACCAATTAATACAACGCTACCGAGGTGATTATGAAATGCCTAAAAACGCAATGGTTGCAACAATTAATACATTATTTATTTAAATTGCAGCGACTTCCCATTTCGATTCTCACCGAGTCTGTTGCCTTCCGTACATGCGACATCTCACCACGTTTTAAATTCCCATCCATCGATTGTGACGTCTAATTCCAAACAGGATTGCGGCGTACAGGATTCCACAACGAACAATCGATATTCAAGGTAACATGCGTAGAAAAATTATAGAAAAGTTTCGCTCTTTCCTTGACGATTCCGACATTTCAAATTCAGAGAAAACTTGTTTAATTGTCTGTAAACAGGTATTTTTGGTTGGATAAGCTTTGATTTTCAATCTCCTTTTTAAGGCATTATCATATTTAAACGTTCTTCAACGTTTTTAATAGCTAATACTATGTGTATGTAATATATATGTTTATGCAACTGACTTAGAAACTTTAGTTCGAAAATTGAATTTTTATATAAATAGTTTGATGCTGAATATATCTTAGCTAGAACAATAAGTCATTATTTGAGCTTAGCAACAGCGATACTATTTGATCGCCCGACCTATTCTAGCTAGATTTTTTACTGACGATAAGTATACCAATATTATTTTGTTGTATTTTGTGATCTCCTTTCGAATGTTTTCACACTTGTTCATTAAGACTTCTATACCGCTAGACCAATGTTTCATTGGGTGGGCCCTTTCAAGACGCCATATTTAATTTACCCACAACCCACTTGGGTACACATACTAACGTATACAACACACACATATATATAGATATATATATATATATATATCACAGAAATGTACACATTCCTATTGGCCCACTTCAAAGTACGCGTCTGCGCATTAGAAACCATCCCCTAAGGGGCTTTGCCCTGCAACTAATATTGAAAGAGAAGTCGGAATAAAACGAAGCGATTGTAAAATTTCCCCACTATATTGGCCTAATCCTATTTTATTTAAATTCTGTGTCAAATTCACATCTTCTAATTCATCATCAAATTCGTAAGCCTATTCCCTATTTAAATCGGAAAACTTTTTGCTAATAATGTTGGAGTATGCATAGGATATGTAATTAGATGCCTGATAAGAACTAACAAAATCATTCTAATCATGTCCGTCCTGTTGTAAGCTAAACTAAAAAAAAAATTAATTGTTTTAATTTTAGTATAAAAAGTCGCTACTCTTGTTATGAATATGTTTAAATATTTACTTACATATAAAATTAATAATATTAGTGGGAAATTTTTTTTCTTTAAGCACAAAAAATCCTTTTAATAGAGGGCGCCACTGGCAACAGCTGCGCAACAGCTCACAGTAGCGAACACCAATTTTGTACTCTGATGAAGCTTATCGATAATACTTCATTGCGATAGTTTGCCAAATAACTCCCAATTTGATACTAACATCTGTTTACTTATTCATGCTGAAGCCGCTCAAAATGTGAATTATTTCAAGTTTCGTACTCTGTGTCCATTCCAAATGAGCAAACACAAATCGTACAATTATTAACCAATTTATAAAAAAGGACATGTCAACCTATTAAGGTAATATATGATTTAGACGATGATCTCCAAAACATTAAGAACTAGAATGTATGCTCGATAAATATCGATTTTTGGGCTAGTTCCAGAGCATCATTTGAAGGACCTATATCTTAAATACTTTTTGATCAAGAAGGCCACCCGACGTTTAAATTTGACATCTTGTTGGATACAGGGTGACGACAAGAATATTCTTTATTGTTAAAAAAAATTTATTGACGGCATACATACCCGTATGTTGATTGTTTTTAAATATAGTGTTAATTAATGTCGTTTATAATAGGGTCTATAGCCGAATTATTATATTATTGTTAAGAAAAATCAACTGTTCAACTAGCCGACGTATTGCGTTTTACTAGTCCCAACGAACTAATAAGTTGCATTTGGAAATTTTGCCAAGAGAACATTTGATGGGTTTTTTCTCACCGCGCAATCGTTCTCTGCATTGGCCCACGCCGGCCTCTCTCGGGGAGAGAGAGACGATGAAAAACGCGATAGAGTCGAATACCACTGTAAATTGTTAGCTTAAAAGCCCCCAAAGTCGGAAGTAATTCGTCAAATTGCTGGGCAGACAGTTTAGTGAAATCAAAGAAATCTGAAAACTCATATACCTGATGTCCGAAACTCGCTTTATTCCGTTTAAATCTGTGAAATTTGTATATGGTTAAGGAGTGTGCCCTTCCACAACTCATATTTGGGACTACTACGACTACAATTCATACAAATAACTGTGCTTAACCTGCATTTGATGTATATCCCATTAATAAAATTTCTATATAAAATGGAGTGCGATAATGTGCCAAAATCATTAATAATACAAAATTCAAAATTGAATTTTCAATTTGGACAGCTGTATCATTTTGTATATTGGTGAAAATAGTTTGAAAATAATGCTCGGCCATATTAAGAGAAAATGTATCTATATAAAATGCCATACTTATATACATCTAAATTGCGTTAAAAGCATCAGCCATAAATCAACTCAGCAATACAAACAGACAACAAGGGGATACTTGCGAACCCACTCACTCGGCGGCAAGAGAACTGTCTGTATTATAATGCCATCAAAACAATTAAATTTATTTCAGTCGAATTGGAGCATTTGTGGATGTGCCTACCTATTATGAAAATAAAAACAAAAGCAAGAGAGAAACCCGTTAAGCGTGTGATAATCGGTGAAATTTTGGACCAGGCATAATATGAAATGCTATTGAAATACATAAATTGTTAAATTTTGATGGAGATACTCGCATGTGTACATACACATATCAAATGTGTGCATATTCTCTTATTCAAATCTGCAACAGGCAGGCAACAGGGTTATCGTTGTTATGGTTAGTGCGCCTGTCTGTTGCCTCAATGACGAGAGCCGGAGTCTAAGAACGACGTTGCCTTGCCGTCAGTGGCAACCGAGTGCGCCATACCCTGTTGACAATGTGCAGTATAAAGCCTGTCAAATAATCCCACCAAAATATAAACACTACCTAAGTTGCGAATACACGAGTACACTAAAACTTATCGACTCTTTATATCTTGTAAACAGTGTGTAGTAAAAGCTAATGTTTCTGTGCTCGTGAGAGGGCTTTATTTAAAAAAAAATCCACACGAGAAGAATATAGATTTACTAACAACTCAGTCAAGGAAATTACTTCAGTAAATCTCAATTGTGGCAGAGGGTGGTGTAGGTCAAGAATAAAAATTCATCATAGCAGGTCAAAGTGGAATCTATACAAATACAAATTTGGCTCTCCCATAGATTTATTTTTATTTGTTGTGCCAAAACCCAAAGAATCAAAATAGAATATGGCAGCACATACTCTGTATTTATGATTCGAGTTGTGAACGGGTCAGCTAGGATATATTATTACATTTTACTGAGCTACATACAGTATAGTTTTCAAAACATTTCCAGCTCTTTCAATGTACCCATTTTTAGGGCACTGAATGCTTAATGGTATTAGAATACGGCAAAACGCTTACTATTTTTACAAGTTTAGTTTTGTGAACTCTAGAAACGTATAAAACTTTGATATTGTTTAAAGCATCTTTTTCCGATTGTCTTCTAATCGAAATAAAAACATTAAATATATTTGAAATAGAGTGGAGTATCAAACAAAATTTAAATGTCTCGACCATGGGTGGAGTTATTAAACTCTGAAGTGAATGTAAACGTATTTAAAATCATTTAACGGCATCGACAGCAGCGCGAGAAAGGCTATGACCTCCGGATAATTCGAATACCTGCATTGCTATGGATAATAAAATTGCCAAGAATACCAAGAGCAACAGTAAAAGCGGCAGATTAGATGATACTTCAGAAGCGCTATCCCCTAGAAGAGAGTCAAATAGTTATAGACAAATGCACCTAAATGGAAATGAAAGCGCCGAAGAGAATAAGGAGCCGAAGGACTTTTCCATTCCCGTTGGCAATATAATGGAAACGATCTCGCAATCGTCATCATCATCATCGACAACAACAACTGTCCCGAATGCACAATTCTTTGATCATCAACAGACCACGAATGAGGCAGTTACCAAGGTCAACTCGGATGTGATGGAGCACATATTTAATACACCCACAAGCAATGCGGTGGTGCCGACTACAACATCCACAATAATGTCGGAAATTCTATTGCGGCAGCAGCACGACATGCTCCAGCACTGGCCAAAGCTGGAGGACCCTCAGCGCAAATGGAATCGGGAGCAATTGGATACAAGCTGTAATCGTGATGCATTACTGGCGCGCATATACAACAATAAAGTGCTCTCCCAGCACAAGAGCACACAACGCCAGCAACAGCAGCAACAGCAGCAGCAGCAGCAGCAAAGACAGTTTTTAGCAACACAATTGCTTTATGCACAGTTTCTACATCAGCCCCATTTGTCATTGGAGGTCGATCAGGAGCGAGAACGTAGGCTACATATATTGGAGTTTTCTGGTTTGCGAAAATCTTCCGTTAGCAATGAGCCAAAAGCAACACCATTATTGTCAACATCATCACTATCAATTGGCTTATCACACGATAACAACAATAATCGAACACAAAGCGATATCGAACAGAGTGTTCGATATGATCACGACCACATCCGGAGAGATGGAACAGATGCACACAACTCGAATTCGAACTCATCGACTAAAGACAAATGCAAGTTAAGCAAACGCACAATAGCTCAATGCGCTTCAAGCTCGAAGGGCTTCTTTTTGCGCGAGCAGAAGAACGTATTGTTTGATATAAAAAAGGGCCTAGAGCAATTGACATTACTTTGCAGTCAATTTCAGGATAGTCTAAGTATGCCAGATGAAAGGGCAGACAGACCTGATGATGACAATACAAACACCTCGACCTCGACCTCGACCCTTGAAGTTACCGTACAACGCGAATTGGAAAACAATCGATTGAAAATCGAAGGCATGTTGGTCCAAGTGAGAAGTCTTTATCGTCAGTGGAGCAGTGCTGAACTCTATTATCTACGGAGCTTGCAGAGACTAGGCCTTACTCCTGGCAGCAAGCCCGATTCTCCCACTCATGATGTTATGGCCCTTGCTGCGATTGCCTTGTCTGCCGAATGCGATTCAGGGTTAAGAAACAAAACTGATGCCGCCGAAGTTAGCCCAAAAAACTGCTATAGGCAAGAGAACAACTGCTCAAGTAAACCCGAAGTACATTCATCGCCAGAGAAACTGCGTACACTGCAAGATATTGAAAATATTATACTGCAGCAAGCAGCAGCCGCTGCTGCTAGTCAACAGAAACAATCTGACCCAGGTTTCGTGAATGGCCACAGCGAAAGTGCAGCGAGCAGTGATAGCGACGAAGAAAAAGAGTCATCATCACCCGCTTGTATTTGGCATCCAAAGAACAATGTTCATCCAGCCGATGACGGTGACACCTGCAGCACTGCCGCCGAAATTCTTTTGGAATATACTTCGTTATCGTCGGTGCAGGCGAAAATTAATGCATTGATGGGCAGTGGCAACAGCTTGCCTCTGCCTGGCTCTGGTTCAAGTACTAACAAAATCGCCGAGAACTGTTCGGTCTTGAATCTATCACCAGGGACGCAGAGAGCACCGTTTAATCGAGAGTCGGCCACTTCGGATCCCTTATACTTGGCCGATATTCCGTTCCCTCCAACGCCAGCCACACCACCAACAAGTAGCAACAGCAGCTGTTCGACAGTTACGGGCCCGCTTGGCTGCACATCGTATTCTTTGAGCACGAGTAAATATAACCACCGGCGAAAATCTAGATATGCGCGACGCATCGAAACTCCCACATCCTCATCATCGGCCAGCACCTGCCAGCCGGAGTACTCGGCCAAGGAACTCAACGGGGACGCATATAAGGTTGTCGCTATTGCCAGTATGCCAATGTGCCCATCCTCGGTATCATCGACAACCGCGTCAGCCTCCGGCTCCGCCTCAGCCGCAGCGGCCCCCATTCAAGATTCACCCTCAGCCGTTGCGGCGGTAGCCGCATTCCAGGAACGTGCCATTACGGACATGTTTAAGGCCCAGTTTAGCGCTTTGACAGTGGCGGCTGGAATTGCAACTGGATGTGGAAGCGAATCAGGACTTGGAGCTGGATCTGACACTCCCTACGACTTAAGCATTGGAACGAGGCTAAAAAAAATGTAAATTTAAAATTAGTTTTGTTACACAAAATAAAAAGTGTAAGAGCTTTAGTCTGCGACTTTGGTCAAGATATTTATTTAAAAAAGTTTTTCTTATTTTTCCATCATTTCTTGGAAGATATTTATTAATAATCTTTAAAAACATCCAGAAGAAGATAGCTATATCTACTCGGTTGTTGTTACTGGTCGGAGGTGTGTCCTTTCGTGCCAACAGAGAAATAAGACATTCCTAAGGTTGTCAAGACGTAATTTGCACTTAAATAATTTGCAATATTGATTGATTCTTGTCCGATATTTGGCTTCAAAAAAAATATTTGAAATATATGTAATATGTGAAAACACACATGCCAATTTTTATATCTGCTGCAAGAATATTTGAATTATAGTTTTTATTTGTTATCAATAAATTGTACATTATTTTTGTTTGTGAATGGAGAATGATTATACTTCTGCTTGTTGATTAATTTCAGAAACTTGGATACCAAAAGCTCATCAAATTCGCAAGCAAACGACTGTAAAGATAGTTCAAATGATAAAAAGAAGCCACATATCAAGAAACCTCTGAACGCATTTATGCTGTACATGAAAGAGATGAGAGCCAAAGTTGTAGCTGAATGCACCCTGAAAGAGTCAGCGGCGATTAATCAAATACTGGGGCGACGGGTAAGCTACATAGTCCATCGTAATGCTGTCCTTTACCTTTAACATGGCTGCCAAGTCATGTTTTCTGGTTAATCCGGTTAAGTTTTATGATGGGGGTTCATTTTATAAACAAGCCTCGATTACCGGAACAGTTTTTAATGCTGCGAATGCTTCTTTAGCGCAAATAATCTTCGATTATTAAAGGACAGACGGACGGACACACGGACACATATGTATATAAGTACTATTGGAATTCGCACAAAGAAATTAACTATATATAAAATATGCATATTGAACTCACCTTGACATTATTCTCAATGCAAAAACACTCGTTTTATAAGTTAATGCTAACTGATTCCCAACATTAATAATACTTTTGTAGTGGCACGAACTTTCCCGCGAAGAGCAAAGCAAATATTACGAAAAAGCGCGACAAGAGCGCCAATTGCATATGGAGTTGTATCCGGGGTGGAGCGCACGAGATAACTACGGTTACGTGTCAAAAAAGAAAAAGCGTAAAAAAGACAGATCGACAGCGGATTCGGGAGGTATTGCACAAAATTGTCAAATTTGTAACACTCTTATTCTTCTCTAACCGCATTCAAACATATTTATTTTTTTTTGTTTTTGTTTTCGTTTTCGATTAAAAATTTCATTAAAAACATGCATAACGTACAAACACAAACACAATTACAATAACAATAACATTAACAATGACATTAACAATATCAATATCAATAACACAAGCACACATTTAAAATCAGCTGCTACTAACACAAAAATTAGAACTAACAAATTAAATTAAACATGTACCTACTATTAATGTAATTTGTGTAAATACTTAGAATAAATTTAACTCGTACCACGCATCAAAATAACTGAAAGAAAAAACCCGACATTATTTACAACAAATCTAAAAGAAAATCACATATTTGAAACTAGACAGAATCTTAGATGTTTTCGTAGTTAGCTTTAGATTTGTACTAAGCAGATATCAATTTTAAAGTGTACTTTAAAAAGTGTACCTGAAATAGAAAGTAATTAAACATAACATGTTAGTACGTATAGAGTACCTTTTACTCTCTCTTCGGTAACCCGTAGCTTTGCTTGTATACATTTCTGGCATTTTTATTTTCAGAGTAACATTTATCTATTTTGAAACTGTGAAAAAAGTGAAAACTGTGGCTAGATTTCAACTATTTGAATGTTCGCTATCGTCTTTTCAAATCCTATTGACCTGACCCAACTGACTGTGACCTTTGTTTGCTATTTTGGTAATAATTTCGATTTGATTTAATTGCTTCCTTCCCAGTAAAAATTCAAATTCCTCTATTCGTGATCAAATTCAGAATTGAAAACTGAAAGCTTATTGTTTTAATAATACAAAAAGAATACGAAAATGCTGATAAAATTCAATCGATTATTTAGTACCACTATGAAAAGATATTTCAAAAACTTAGAGAGTTTGAACAAATCGGAAGAAGAGACTCAACAAAATGAGGTGAAAGTTTTGTTTCTTCAACACAATAATTTGTACACAAATATCTGTTAATCAGAGTAGTTTTGTAGAGTTACTCATGTTTCGATGTGCAGGACGTTCAATTAGGGCTAATGCTTTCCATACTTATGTGGTTCAATTGGCAAAATAATACACTCACACGAACACAATATACTTTTGTATTGAATTGGCAATCAGAGTGCAGAGAACAGGAAAATTTGTAGAAACAAAAAAAAAACATTTCATTTTATTTAATGCTTTCATTTCCATAGATTCTTGAACACAAGAATCATATATAAACAACCCGAATAATCTGTATGTGAGGACTTGAAATTGAAATTGGCGAATGCATGCACCCGAAACCGTATACAAGATCGATCCGTCAAAGCTTTTGAACAATTTGCGCCCGCTGCATATACTAAGATTCTCGCTGACACCAACAAAACAGGCTGGTGTCGGCTTTTGTCCACTGTGTTTAGATTGGCGGGTGCCCGATAGCTGATAATTAGCGTTTAAAAAAACCACCTGACTGACTAATGTATAATTGCATATTATCTCTCTTTATTTTTCATAATTTTGATTTGCGCATATCGCAACCAAATCTAACAAAACCAATACAAAAAAAAAAAAAAAAAACAATTCGATTGATCGCCTCGAACCAAACAAAATACGAAAATCGAAAATACGAAAATCCGGGTATTCGATTTTTTGAAATATGTCTAAATTCGCAACGATTGCACACAACAATTATTACACACTGTTTTTTTCGCGACACCTCGCATATATCCCACTCCCAGTGGCATGCCTTGGGGCGTGAGGAGCAGGCCAAATATTACGAGTTGGCACGACGGGAACGCCAGCTGCACATGCAGATGTATCCCGATTGGAGCTCACGCACGAACGCGTCACGCGGCAAGAAGCGGAAACGGAAGCAAGATGCGAGCAGCGACGGAGGAGGTTAGATACATTTTCTTAAACTTTTGTACGATACATATGTACTATGTCATACCAATACCAAACCAATATCTAAGCCAAAATTAAACAGCCAGACATACGTTAAATGATTATCAAACGATTTAATCAGACAATTACATCTTAATATAATAAATTTGTTTGTTTAATAAACGAAAACACACATTTGTGTAAGTACCAAAAAAAAAAAATACTTGTTGTTGCGATTGGAACGAAGTTTAAAAATAATGAAAACATGGATCAAAATGATTGTTTAATAAACGCAAAATTTCCTCAACTTATTTATGACAATAAGTAGATTTAGGAAATCCGTAGAAAACTCACCCTAGTAAATAATTTGCCCTGTAAATAATTTGCATCCTACTTGCTTAACTCCAAATTGCTTATAGGCAGTTTTCTCTCTCGGCATTACCGAAACTTTTTTGTAATAATTAATTTAACCAAACATTCATTCATCAATCATTATCGTATGTATGTATCTATATATTTATGTATGTCTGATTGTCAATAAGTGATTATGATTAAAAATTACAATTACCTAGTCTTATAATCCAATTGCTTGCATGATATAATTTTCTATTGAAATGAGTCTTATGTGTGTATGCAGTATCAGCATACAGTATAATTATAACTACTCACTCAGTATAAGTACTTATACTGCATACTCCCATATACCATTATACGTATAAATTGGAGGCACTTATACTACACAGTCGCATATGTAGAAAGTAATTTACATGTGTGTATACAGTATGCAGTAAAAGTTGAAGTAATTATAAGTAAAATGGCTTAGAATACGTATAAGTAAACTTGTTACTTATGTTATGCGAGACTGAACTGTACTTATACTGCTTACTTATACGCACTATAATGTAGTATAAGTATATAGATAGGTACACAGTTTACTTATACTACATATGTACTCGCATACATCTAGTTATTAGTGCATGCGCAATTGAAACTATTTGTATATGAATATTGTGTGTAAAATCATACTGAATCAGTTATGCTGTCCAAACACAATTAAAGCAATCAACTATTATTTATGTGTTAGCCAATGTGAGTTATATTAGCCAGATGCTAATGGTAAAACCTTGCCATTATTTGGCGAATGGCGTATGGGTCGGTTATTTCCTTATTAACATTCACATTTCAGTATTATCGTGACAACAAATTAACATCATGAGCAGATCGCATTCAAAACATCATTTGCGCCCCTTCTAGGTGACATTTAATTCCAAAGATATTAGAAAGGACAAATGCATAAATATATATATATGTATGTATTCACATGTACTGTGTGAAATAATGGAACAAGTTTTCTTCGGTAGCTTGCTTACATAAATTTTTAAAGTAATTCAAATAATTTTAGAAAAACTGAAACGCAAGTTTAATTTATATTTTGGTTAGGTTAGCTTTAAAGTAATTCAAATAATTTTAGAAAAACTGAAACGCAAGTTTAATTTATATTTTGGTTAGGCTCGCGTTTTCGAACTTCGATCATTTTTCAAAGCTCGTTTTAACTTAGACGTTCATGTTCGTTGGTTAAAATTATTTAAACGTCGTTATATAGAATCAGCCCATTTCGCAGCGGAAGTTACATGAAATGTAAATAAATGGAACTGCCAAGTTGTAAATCTATATCTAGTTTAAGGGTTAACTATACATTATTAATTTATTGTTTGTTCGTATCATGCTGTCATTGTAGTGTCTATATGTTCTTATTTAGTCCATAATTGTAATGAATGCTTAAACTACCTTTCTGTTGCTCAACTAACAACTCGATCATGTTAAATTATGGTGCCTTTAAATTGCAACAACTCCAAAACCAATCTTAAATTCTTTTCCGTAGGTAACAACATGAAAAAGTGTCGAGCGCGATTTGGACTGGACCAGCAGAATCAATGGTGCAAGCCCTGCAGGTAGGTTATATATTGAATGTATCTTTTAAGTTGACAGCTTGTTCAAGATATAACATACTGCGTTTATGATAAGAAATCCATCAGTTATTCACATTGCGAATTTCAAATTGTCACAGCGTGTCCAAACTTACAAAATAAGTTCCCAGACTTGTATAAAAAGAAAAAAGAAAAAACCTAAAATAATCTAGGCTACGCTTCATCAATTCATTATTTGGCGTTTAAGCACGCCTCTCTCTGAGTTTGTTTCACTAAATGGCTCCAAATAAAGTACTTAAACATAAGCGCAGTAGCATGATTGTACATAAGTGGCTAAAACATGGAAGACATGCATACGTACACGCATATTAGAGTTGTAATAAGCTTATGATTAAGGAAAAAGTGAAGTGAAGTCCAAATTTGATGGCCAGCATTCAAATCGAATAACTGATTGATGCCCATTTTTTTTTAAATATCTTATATAATAGCTATTTAAATTTAAATAAGTATGTGACATACAGAATCAAAGTATACAGCGTACTGTCGTGTGTATGCAGATAATTAGTCCAGTTCAAACATTCGTTCGTTCATTGTCCATTTTGCAATAATTCTCTTGTCCCAATTCGATTGCTCAAATGGTATGAACGAACTTATCTATTATTATTATAATTTGTACTTAATATATTAGCCTAAGACTGATAGTACTGACAAAAAATTGCATTCAGCAATATAATCTAACAGCTAACGTTCAAGGAAATAGTTCGCAGTGGCAATGTAATACAACTCTAATATAAATGTACATATGTTTGTTTATGTACAGTAGACGAAGGTATAACAAATATTGTCTCATCAATTTAATTATGTACACATGAATCAACATAAGTACTATCTATCTATCACACATTATTCTACACTCACCTCACACCTAAATACACATATTATTCGATACCTGCTCTAGATAATAATTAACAGTAATGACTATTAAGTAACAAAGGGCATTGTGGCCACAATCTAAATATATGGCCGATACTATTTAATGTATTTGCATGCAACTTAATGCTGTTTCCTACCTACAATGCCCCCTTCTTGCCTGCACCCTGCACAGGACCAACAAATTTATTATTTACAAATTTGAATGTTGATCTATTGAAAGTGGATATCTCTCAGCGATAACAAATCTACTTAAATAATTTGAAAACAAACTCTGTTCTTCATTCGAAGCTCTAGTCACTTATCAATGCTTACCCAAATTGCAATGACTTTTGAATAAGCTTTTGTCGATTTTCGAAACCTTATATGTTGTATTTTCCCATTGAATATAAGTATATGCATCAATTAAAAAAATTGATTTGGTTGTTTGAGGAAACAGCACTTGCTTAGGAAAAATCAAAACTAGGGATTAGCTTTCCTTTGTAAATTAGATGGTCACGCTTAACACCTTTTTACCTACATATATAATGGGTAAAGGAATATACGAGTATTAACAAAAATATATTTAAAAAAAATATTAGTTCATTGCTTTGTGCACTTGGGTGCATTTCGTTTTATTTTATTTTTATTTATTTTCCCTAAAATTTAAACCTCTCTTGAACTCTACGTCTATTTTAAAACATATTTAATGACCATCGAATAACAAACGAAAAGTAGGAATTAACAGTGTCCACTCACGTAAGTCTTGTGGATAGAAGCTTGAAGCCGAAAAGTAGGCTTTCGAATGTTGCTAAGCATGTATCAAACCATTTCTCACAATTATGTTTAAAACTGATAATAAACAAAAAATATCTAAATTTCTCTGCCACATTTCCACAGTTGCGAGTGGGAGCTTCGAAAATTGCTGAAACTCATAATCATTTAATTTTCGTAGGGCTTGGAAAATAAGTTTGAAGCCGATCGGACAGAGATTGAAACTACGGTCATGCAATCTTTGTTCCGCGTTTATCAAGAAGGGTGGATTTGGCAAAAGTGTTATAAGATTAACTTCCTAAAAGATTTTTGAAAATTATTTTGAATCTCTGAAGCGATCAAATAACCGTTTATCAATAGTTTACCACAGTTGCGGGTGGAATTTCTAATATTGCTAAAAGACGCATACAATAAGTTCTTTATATCGCATTTTCCCCCAAATTATATTGGTTTTTACAAAAAGTGTTTAACACGTCTCAAATATTTTTTTTGTAAAGAGCGTTGGAAATGAACAAACAAAATATTCAAAATCATAGTCATAATTAAATGCTTTTTCAAGAAAAATCGTGACAAACTGTTTTTGTTCACAATCGGGTCGGTTTAGAATCATTTTCATACATTTTTGTGAGAATTAATTGACCGACTATTAACCGCAGAAAAGGTTGACTCCAACTTATTGATCATTTTTGATATCCGCTAACATTTTTTTTTATCGATGCCTGGGGCTCAAGATAGTAAGTGAAGTTTTTAATTTTCCGAGTGGTTAATCTGGAAAAAAAGCTTATATCTAAAATTATAAGCATAAAATGTGCACGGACAAGATCTGGTAATACTCGGTAGTCTATGCATAAAAAATTGTTTGCCCTGACTGACTAACTGACTGATTGGGAATCAAGCTGAAATTTGTACTGCAGTTCCCGTATGGGATGGAGGGGCACGCTAATGCGATATTTCGCAAAGTTCACCTGGAAGTATGGGAAAAAGCTAATATCCGGACATGAAAATATTCCCTTTACCATTCAATCGACATCAAACTCATTTAAAAATAGTTTTTTCACGCATTAAAACTACGGGTCAATCGTTGAATGAACGAGATTTTGTTTGGTTGAAAAATTTGTAGCAAAAAACTTCGATTCAGTCAGTCTGGGAAATATCGCAAGTCTCTTTACTTGGGAGAGCCCGACTTGGGGATACTCTGAACCTTCGTTCACCAACACTAACTTTGGGTCGAATGTATTGAAAATGGGTGAAAAGTATATTATGGTTTTGTGCAAATATGTGTAACAGGCAGAAGAAAGCATTTTCGTCCCCGTAAAGTACATACATTCTTGATCAGCATTAACAACCGAGTCGATCTAGCCATATCCGACTGTCTGCAAGGATCTCAGAACCTATAAGAGCTAGAGACTTGCAATTGAATTAAACGTGGGTCCTCCTAGTACCCGCGCTGTACAAGTTTGTTTCCGCTAATCGATAAATTGTCCCATTTACAAAAATTAATATCAAAATCCTGTTCTGTTAGGTGCTAAGATATAGTATCACCAAATTCCACAGTAAGAGAACCTTTGTTTAAATTTTCTAGCCTCTAGCTCATATTTTTGATGCTGACTAAGAATATGTAAACCATTTGGAGATACTTCGTTCTATCTGCTTGTTATATACATTTGTTCTGGGCGTATACCCTAAATATGGATTTGGTTTTTACCACATTTATACTTTTATTCCTAAGAACAACAAGTTTTCCCGAGAATGAGAGTATGTTTTTGTGTATGTTTTCTATAAAAGGATAATGGATAAAGGATAAATGGTATCTGCTCGACTGGACCTCTTTGTGTTTAGATCAGTTCAACTTTTACGTTCGCTCGTGGTTTTTATACCCTTGAAGACGGCGATTTAATTAGAAGACACTCCCGACTCTATAAGATATATACATATATATATTATTGATATCAATTACGGAGTCGATATCCATCTGCCCGCCTCTCTGTTCCTATGCAAGCTAGTCTCTTAGTTTCCGTATATCTGTCGGATCGGACCGCTGTATGTAGCTGCTGTAGAAACGATTAGTGGAAAATAAGGTTCTTGTAAGAAAACTTCTCTTGACCCGACCCGAGTGCTTAGAAAAATGGCAATACTATAACATACAGCTGAATAGGAAGAAACGGCCAACAATTTATTTTGGGTGAAGCAAAATATTATGTTTTTCAAAATATTTTCACCAAACTCGGCAACTACGTACTTCAATGCTCTTATCATATATTTTCCAAATGGCAAGATTATATCTAAAAGATTATTTATATATAAGGACCCTCTTATAGAGACCTTATTACAAAACCATGCCGATCCATAAAGATTTTGAGCATGCAAAACTCTTGCCCACCTCTAGCGCCCACCCCGCAATTTTTTGTCGCGATCCCCTCCAGATTCCATCTTTACTTTGAAGAGTAGAAACAGTTACGAAAATTGATATTTTTTTATTATTTCCTAGTATATGACAACAGTGAGCAGTAACACATAAACCTAAAGCTAAAAGCAAATGTAGGGTTTAAAAATACATCGTTTATTTTGAAACCTAAAGTTTTGCCATCTAAAGTAAACTTAACTTTGAAGAAATACTATTGCAGAATCAGAAACTTTGAAGATAAACTTCCAATCTGACCAATCGCTTTAAATTATTTATATATATATATATATATATATATATATATATATATATATATATATATATATATATATATATATATATATATATATATATATATATATATATATATATATATATATTCCAAAAATAGTGTTTTTAAAAATCGTACAAAATTTTCTATTTTCTTTTTTATGTCCCAATATACGTTTATTAATGAGAAATTTATTAAACTGGCAATCGATTTTTATACCCTGAACCCATTAAAAATGGGTATAAGGGTATATTGAATTTGTGCAAAATCAAAATGTATGTAACAGGTAGAAGGAAGCATCTCCGACCCCATAAAGTATATATATTCTTGATCAGCACCAATAGTCGAGTCGATCTAGCCATGTCCGTCTGTCTGTCCGTCCGTCCGTCCGTACGTATGAACGCAAGGATTTTAGAACCTATAAGAGCTAGAAGAAATTTTAGATGTAGATGCTCCTAGTTCCCGCGCAGATTGAGTTTGTTTCCGATAATCGATAACTTACTTCGTTTCCAAGCAATCGATAAAAATCGATATCGATATCCTGTTTTTGGCAATTTTGGTAAATAATAAGAGCTGGAGTCACCAAACTTGACATATAGCTTCTTAAATAAAATATATATATGCATTTGATGTTGGAAGAAGAGGGTAGAGGGTAGCACCTAGTCGGGAGCTCCCGACTAGAACCTTTTGTTGAGTATTTACTATCTTTGTTGATGGTAATACAATTTTATCATAGATCGAAGGACGCATTTCCGCCCCTCATTAAGTATATATACGCTAGATCACATTAACAGCCGAGGTCTGGATCTATGTGAACTAGTCTCTCATTCTATCTTACTGTTGCGGGCAGTACATGTGTCGGAACCGGCCGAAAAGTTTCACCTGGTATGCTCCTTTCGTATATACCCAAAATATTGTCAAAATCGGACTGCTATATCATATAGCTACCATATGAAACATCGGTTCAATATATTCTCATTAAAACTCAGCACTTACTACCTTCAACAAAGGTTTCGAATCCTTACTTTCATGATTGTTTTTAATTTTTTGTAATATAAATTGATTATTTCCCAAGCTATTTTATTTTTAACTGTGTCTAAAGGACATAATTAATGCTTTATCTATTTTTTTCCATTTCATTAGAAAGGTCACAAAATAGTAAAAAAAATATCGGCTTACCACCAGAATTATATTATACTTGTTTTTCACTACTTTCTTATTTTACTCTGGATTTTCTAGTTTTTATGCGTCTCATCTTAAATTCTTGCGAGCTATTATTTTTATAAAAAGAAAGCCGAATATCGTTATAGGACTTAAAATAATATATAATAGAGCTTTGCGTGTTAGGTGATCGTTCAATTATGGTTCTGGCATTAGAACTAAATGATCCTTAATAAACAAATTCAAAATACACACACGTACAAACAAGCACACATACAAACAATATGCCTTTTTTTATGAGTAAACGAAATGTTGACGAATATAATTACCGTTATTTTCTTATTGCTTAACCAAATAACATTTTGGAATTTCTAATTCAGTCCCAGTGTGGGTTTGGGCGTCATTTCTTCGGCTAGCAACAGTACCGTTGGCGGAATTGTCAGTGGCCCGGGTGTCAATAGCATAAGTGTCGGCATGCTGACGCCTGGCATGGTGGGGGCTACTGTCATGCTGCCAAACTCGTCATCAAGTTCCTCATCGTCATCTACATCGTCTTCGCACACGCACACACACTTGCAAATGATGCCCAGCAATACCGGAAACGGATCGGCAGCACCTCCCAATGGTGGCGCCTGTACACAACCTGGTGGTGGCGGCGGCGGTGGTGGAGGGGGTGGTGTTGGAGGCGGTGCGACTGGCGGTGCCGCGAGCACACAGCAACTGTCACCGCAAGCACCCCCGACCTATGTAAATTTGTAAAAACGATGGCAGACCGCGGCGAAAATAAGCAGGCAACCTCCCGGACAACAACCTGCATCCTAAACTCCATTGCAGCCCAAACAAGAGGCAGGCGTACGACTCAGCATAAATGCCAGTAAATAACGTACATTTACATATACATTATTGTAAATAATTCTGTGAATTCTAATTTGCATTACAATTAACCAAACAACATATTCAAATAATTATAGTCTTTGCAAAAAGCTAGCATTAAGCCGCATTAGCAATAATTTGTAATAACAAATGACATTTTTATTATTACATTTTTTTAGAGTACCCAAAAAAATACACTTAGAGCCCGAAAACAGCTTTCTAAATCCCAGCAAAAATCGTCAAGATATAAAAATACTAACAAATGTTAATTTACTTTCCAAGCGGATTTTTATTTTGTTTTATAATTTTGATAACACGTGCAATGATTCGAGAGAAGAATCAAATCAAATGGTCCTTTATATCACAACCATATATTGATAATAAATATGTGAGAGAACAATTGTTTGTCCAAGCGAATCGTGTTGGATCACGTTGAATCAGATGATTCAGTCAGATAGTTTTCAAATTTATAAATAACTTTTATATATTCCATCTTTCGCCAAAGACTCTTAGTGTTATTATTAGTACATAAATGAATTATAACAATTGCATTTTAAAAATATGAAATTTGCCTTAAATGAGCATTAAATGGATATTATTCTATTATTTTATTTTTTTTCTCTTATCTTATTGTATCGTTTCCATTTCCTTTCCATTGGACGTTGAGTAAAGAGTTGTTGATCTAGTCAATTTTTATTTTTAAAGTAGGTTAATAATATTGTGCACAACAAATTGGAAAGAATAATGCGACTTGTTAAGTCAACTGTAACTGTGCTAATGCGGCATGCAATGGTGCTAAGGACTAGGAAATCATATTAAATATAAAAATATTTCATATGTATATAAATGAAACTGAGTTAATTCTGTGTATGAACATTGCTTACCTGTGTAAGCGCTTAATAATAAAATTAAATGTAAATATATTGATTTTGATCATATACGAATATAATTTTCGGCACTTGTGGCCTTTGATAAAATTTGGATATTGATTGTAGGGAATATTATTTGATGTGCATGTACATATACATGCGCTTATATGTACATGTATATGTATATGTATATGTATATGTATATGTATATATGCAATGTATCTTTGATAATTTAAATGTGTTGTACTTAAACCGAGCTCAATTTAAAATTTTTGCTAGAGCTGTTTGTTATTGTTGTCGTTGCTGTTGTTGCTGTTGTTGTTGTTGTTTTTGAAGTTTGTTGTCTTTTTTATTTGACTTTGTGAACATGGTCCTTTTAACGGCGACACTGGCTTTTCTTTTAAATGTTGTATCATTGTTATGTTTATTGAACCACAATCGTTTATGCCCTTTAACCATTATTTAATGTAACTGATGATTTATTACGTATTATTGACTGCGATGAACACGTTTAAGTGTATTGATTGCTAATTCTACCATTTCAGTTACCCGTTTAAACCTATTATTTGTTTTTTGTTAGTACATTACGAAATGTCTGCAGATAAATTATTACTATGCATGCCTTACTGGAACGTGCATTATCGGAAATGCTGATGCTTTAATTTATATGCTTATACCATACGTCTTGAAATATAGTTTATTTACTTATTTTTACGGTCATTCAAATATGCGTCAGATTATCAGTATAACTTTACCATTGCCCATATCGATTTTGTAAATTACAAGCGTAATCAAAATCGTAAGGCAGATTGATTTCGGATTTCAATTAGTTTTGTTAAATTGAAAAAGTCAATCGCCTGGCAATTAGTATTTATAAGTACCCAAATAATAAATAGAATGACCTCTAAATTTATTTGAATCTATTAACTTCCATACTTTAAAAAATTTTTTTTGGTGTGCTTTTTATATATTGTGTACTAAATATTATATACATATATAATAATGTATATCATGATATATTATATTATATAAGTATTATATACTAGATACCTTTTTATACCTTTATACCTTGAACCCATTAAAAATGGGTATAAGGGTATATTGTATTTGTGCAAAAACCAAATGTTTGTAACAGACATAAGGAAGCATCTCAAACCCCATAAAGTATATATATTCTTGATCAGCACCAATCAGCACGATCTAGCCATGTCCGTCTGTCTGTCTGTCCGTCTGTCCGTATGTATGAACGCAAGGATCTCAGAATCTATAAGAGCTAGAGACTTGAAATTTTAGATGTGGGTGCTCCTAGTGCCGCAGATCGAATTTATTTCCGATAATTGATAACTTATTCCGTTTCCAAGCAATCAATAAAAATCGATATCGATATCCAGTTTTATGGGCAATTCTGGTAAATAATAAGAGCTCGAGTCACCAAACTTGACATATAGCTTCTAAAATTGAATATATATATATGCATTTCATGTTGGATGAAGAGGGTTCAGGGTATCCCCTAGTCGGGAGCTCCCGACTAGAACCCCTCGTGATATATATATATATTCTGTTTAATATTTATGTTTAAATAATTCGAAGTTTCTGATTTTGTTATGATTCGTGCATGCAGCAATAATCCATTATTAATGTATCATCAATTTGAGGAGTTAAGTATAAATGGTCAGTTACAGCCAACATATGACTATTTTATAATTCAAAATTTATGTTGTATAGCTTGAGGTATTGTGGAGAGTTCTGGAACGTTTATTTTTTTGGTTTGACCTATCTGAAAAATTAAAAGATTTTGATTTATTGTAATGTTATTCCCCTTTATATTATATTTACAAAAAATCAAGAACAATTTGAGTTAAATCAAATAATTAGTACAGAATTAATTGGTAAATTTTAATTATTTATCAATAAACAAATAAATAAACTAACAAAAGCTTATTATTACTATCATTATTATAATTATGATTGTGTAGGTTTTTTATAACCGAATCAAAAAATAGTTAAATTTGTTAAATATAATAAATTCATCAATAAAAACGATATATGATAAAATTGACATTTGAATGCCAATCGCCAGGTTGAAAAGAAAATAGAGATATTGGCGCCGTTTTGACCTTCAAATCTACTCTCAGTCCTGCTTAATTAACAGTGGCCCGCTCTCTTAATTTGAAGTTCTATGCACTTGATTCGTTTAATATGTAATATCTTCAGTTCAAATATGTTTTTGCACGATCATTAGCTTATTCAATGATACTTAAGGCCCGGTCGCACCGTGTGCATGCACTTATTAAGTAAATGGTCTTTTCTGCATATGTTGTGGAATGCCTTCATATTTGCCAATACCACATTTACCAATGCTTCAATTCCCATTTTTATGTAACTAATAATGTATATTATATACGTCTCTTTTAATCCCGCAGACGCAAAAAGAAATGCATTCGCTACATGGAGGCATTACATGGAAACGGCGCGCTGGCGAACGGTAGCGGCATGGATGATGCTGGCAATATGAGCCAGTTGAGTGATGATGACGACGATGACGAGGAATTGGGTGGTGCCAGCTGTGGCAGCGGGGATGAGACCGAGACAAATAAAATGGCCGACAACGACGACACAGAGTCAATGAGCCAGTCGCTGTCGAGCCCCGGGTGCCTGAGCGGACTGTCCAGTGTGCAAAGTCCCTCGACAACGACGAGCCTGGCCAGTCCACTAAATATGAACATGCTAACTAGTCCAGCAACGCCCGCTCTACCTTCTGCAACCAGCAATATAGGCCCTCTCCCTGTTAACAACAGCAATGAGCAGGCAGCGTCGAGCAGTCAATCACGATCAGCGCCTGGGTCTGGGACTGGGTCCAGCAGCGGATCAACATGTAGCATTAGTAACACACCTAATACCTCTAGCACAGCGTCGCCAGTGACGTCTGCGACCGGAACAGCGCCGACCTCTGTCAGTGAGCGCGCCATGATGCTTGGCACCCGCTTTAGCCATCTAGGCATGGGGCTTACTCTACCCGTATGTGGCAGTAATCCAGAGCAACTATTCCAATCGCACACCCACCTGGCTGCTGTAAGCCTCGCTGGAAGCAGTGGCAGCGGCAGCAGCAGCAGCAGCACTCCAACATCTTTGGCAACAAATGGCTTCAACAGTTATACGGGCTCTGTAACAGCGGGTGGCAGCATAAAGACAATAGTACCAAATGCTGCAGCATCTGTATCAGCGCCGGCGCCGGCTACTGGACCAGCAACAAGCTTACATCGCAACCCGATTGGCGCTAACCCACGTGACATTAACAATCCGTTGAGTATCAATCAGTTGACCAAGCGGCGAGAGGATAATAACATTGTGATACTCGGCAGCTGCGACCCGCAATCAGCTTCAGTTATTTTGCGCCATAACGCGGCCCATAATCCATACACGCACACTCACCCGCATCCGCATCCTCATCCGCATCATGCGCTCTTCAGCAGCAGCTTTAGTCAACACTTCCAGCAACAGTTGAACAACCATTTGTCAGCCACAAGCAGCAGCGGCAGCAGCATCGGGTCAGTCGTGCAACCGATTGACACGCCCGCCCTGAATAGTATGAAACGCCGCAATACATCCGATTCCCCAGCAGCGACCGGAAATAGCGCAACTCCCAACGCAACCGAAACTGGAGCCATTAGTGTTTCGTAGCAGTCTGGCAATCCAGTATATGTGAATAAAGTAACAATTAATAGAGCCTCGTCCCGCCCTGATGTCCATGCCTTAGTCATTAAGATATGGAGCAGCCAACTACCTAATAAAGCTAAAGCTAAAGTTGGCCCAACGTGCAATAAGAACCATCTCGATCGCCATTTAGCGCTCATCACCATCGCCATAGTTGTAACAAGAAACATGTGGCCATTATTGGATTAGTGCCAAAAGTCCTTACTTCATATATACATACATATATAACATACTTATCAACAAACAATTATCGAAAAGCATTTGAATTTAACGTATACAAGTTCTTAGTTCGAGTGTGCCACGAGATCTGGTGATGGTGAAATGTCATGTCAAGACAACCCCACAAAGTTTAGTTGAGCTTTCGTAGCTATCAAAATATACATATACATTGAGTGTAAATGTGCATACATACATAATACACACATACATACAAGCATAAATATATTTCGGATAATCCATTAGAAATTACAGGCCAATTGCAAAACTAAACTTTTAGGTTTCAGCGCAAGTAAGAGTACTGCGGCTGATTTTCCGACGCGGGGAGTTATCCAGCACCCAATTGAAATTTATGTTATCTCTATAGAAAAAAGTGTTTTCCCCGACACTAAGATCTTGAGAGCTAGACTTAACTTACGTAATGGAATGTACGTTTCGGTAAATTCCAACTTTTTCGTTTGCCCTTCGAACGGACTCAAGCCCATTTTCAAAGATCTTTGTTCAAATTCATTAGAGGGGTGGTCAAAGAAAAAGCCATTATAACGCAGCTTAATGTTATGCAAATCATACTTTTATTTAAATAATTCAAAAGGCAGAAGTATAAAATACGTAGTATTTGGAAAATAGTTTTAAAAGAACTTACATTTCCATACCATTTTACCAATAGAAAAACAACCAACTAAAAAACAAGTAAGAGGTTCTAGTCGGGAGCTCCTGACTAGGGGATACCCTGAACAATCTTCTTCCAACATCAAATGCATATATATATTCTATTTTAGAAGCTATATGTCAAGTGTGGTGACTCCAGCTCTTATTATGTACCAAAATTGCCCAAAAAACAGAATATCGATATCGATTTGTATCGATTGCTTGGAAACGGAGTAAGTTATCGATTATCGGAAACAAACTTGATCTGCGCGGGCACTAGGAGCACCTACATCTAAATTTCAAGTCTCTAGCTCTAATAGGTTATGAGATCCCTGCGTTCATACATACGGACGGACGGACAGACAGACAGACGGACATGGCTAGATCGAATTGGCTATTGGTGCTGATCAAGAATATATATACTTTATGGGGTCGGAGATACTTCATTCTGCCTGTTACATACATTTAGATTTTGCACAAATACAATATACCCTTATACACATTTTTAATGGGTTCAGGGTATAAAAATAGTTTAATTTCCAATAATTTAAAATAACGGACATTTTGATTTCTATGAATAACTACGTAGTCAATCCTTATGCATCATGGATATTCACAATGCTAGAGAACAAATATAAAATATAAAATAGAGAAAAGAAAATGATAAGAACATAGGGTTGATTTATACAAATCAATCATGAGGAGTATCAGAGTTTGTTTTCAATACAAAATTCGCATAAAACACAGTATTATTTTATGATTGTTAAAGAATATAATCTATTCATGTATGTATGTATGTATATCTGGCAGTGTGTATGTGTGTACAAAGAAGAAACTTAAGACAAAACGTACGAATTTATTAAAAATTGGACCTGATAGCTATACTGTATGTATGTATATGTATATATATGCATAGTGTATAGTAATCTTCTTACTTACATATATGACTATATACTGCATACTATACTGCATGTCTACTATATTTATAAAATTAAATGGGCAGAAATATTAATTTTCGATTCTTTAACAAAACAAGTTCTGGTTTGGTAATTCAAAAATATTAAAACAGCATTTAATATGATTATTAAAATAGCCAAGAATAAATGAAGACATGAGTAACTGACACTTGCTAACAAAAAAAATGTACCTCGAATTTGTACCAATTTGTTCCCGCCAAGAAAGTCAAAAGTATTCAACACAGATTATCTCTAAAATATGCGAGAACACTTAAGTTGATCGGGGTACACCCGAAGGTCAAGAAACTTGTAAGCCCATTTCAATAGAATTTGAAAGATATTTTTTATTTGATTTATAGGGTAATCATCATTAAACTGCATTATGTAGCAGAGATTTCATATTTGTCTTATATATGTAATTCGCCTATATGTATGAGCGTGTTCAGATAGATATTTGGGTGCTTAAGAATCGGTATGATAACAATATTCAGACATTAAATTAATAGTTATCAATATCAGGTTCAACTTGAATATTGCTTTATATAAATGATATGTACGAAATATGAGCATAAACCTTCATACACAGTTAAATCAATATGTAAATATATATATATATTCAACATGCACGTGTACAAACAGTGTTGATTTAAATATATAGTGTGGAGGACGATCAAGCCAAACATTTAGTACAGAAGTATAAATAATAATGTGAATTAAATAATGCGATATTAAGGAAATGTGTATGTACATATATATATATATATATATATGTATATGTAAGTGTAAGCACAACAATGTGTAAGCCATTGCCAATTATAAAAAGACTGTTAATACATATTTAAATTAATAACATATGTACATAGAATACATACGTGCGCACGCATACATATATATGCACTTATGTGTATGTGCATATGTAAGCACACGTGTTTTAAGTCAATACGAGTATATATGTATGTATGTACTTGGCACGAATTACTTACAGACATACAACACTATGTACATAGGCAGACACGCAAAAGGAACCTAACATATTTATGTAAACATGTGTAAATGTAATTATTAACTGGCAAACATTATGATGACACAGGTCAAAGGTAATAAAACGTGTATGCAGTCGAAAGGATCGCAATCACGCAGACATTGAAAAATGGTTTGAGGTATAGTTCTACTTATGTACACACCTATCTATAAATGTCTGTATTTATATATATATTTGCAAAGTGAACGCTAGCTTTAGTAATTATTCTAATCAACAAAAAATTCTAAAAACAAAAATCAATATTATATTTAATTTACGTTAACTATGCTTCCAGTTTTCTGTGTTTTTATTTAAATGTTTACCTAGTAAATAGTGCATATGAAACCGTTTTGCAATATTTACAGTTTTATTTATTGACTTATATTCTTTATGTTAACATTAATTTGCACTTCAACATGTGCGCGCATTTCTTATTTGGCGTTTCCGCATAATTAAGTTATTATTTAAATGCTAATTTACATTCAACACAATTTTTATACAATATAATATTATTATAAGTCCACGCTCAAATCCACAAATGCCTTTACTTTTCAATGTGCAACGATGTACATACATACAACTCACTAACCTGAATGTGCATAGGCGTATATACTGTGTATCTCTGGAGAACAGACACTTTAAACAAATATGTTGTGAGACTATCAAATCAAAGCCTGCTAAGCGATACCATGTATGTATGTCGGAATGGCCCCCACATGCACACTCACATACCTTTGTACATTCGCTTCTCTGTAGGACAGTTTCTTCGTTTACATATAAGTGCAAAATTTTCAAAAGCTGCATGTATGTACAATACATGTACATATTCCTATGTAACTTCACACATCAGAAATAGATATTCTACTGTGCAATTCTGATTTGAAGCTAAAATGCATATGTGCTTCGTGGATTACCTATTGACGCTTGTTATCTGTCGACAAATAGTGAGTTCGCTATATTCTATATTCTTTCCCTATTAGCTTTCGAGCCACTCAGTACTCAAATACAGATTAGTGAATGGCATTCAATATGTATATCAATAATTTCTCTTATAGACAACATTTAATTATAATATAATAATATCAGGACAATGTGCATCTCTGTTGAAAATTGTGAAAATGAAAACACATTAAGAAGTACACATACATACATATTTATGTATGAATAACTCACTGAAATTATAAATATAAAAGAACAAATTCATTTCAATTTATATTATGCATTGCTGGATGAGATACTTGTTAGTTGGCTGCCTTGATTTGTTTGTATGTACATTTGTATTTTTAAAATGCACGAAAGAGAAGTATGAAATAAGTACGAATAAATGATTTGCATTCAAAGTAAGCTAAGTCAATATTAATATCACAGATTGGTTAATTGTTCCGTTTGTTTTTAGTAGCTCTTTTACTGTAAGTAGGCATAAATAGTAGAGGTTAATATTAATAATATACACATATCTAGATTTTAAAGTATTTATATATACTTATATACGTACATATTAAATGTTATATACACACACACTTAACCTAAACAAGTAGTTACATTATCTATAAATCAAAACGGAGCAACACAAAATAAAGTAAAGATTTACATATGAAGAAAAAGCAACCATAAGCCTAGTAAATAATTTGATGTATTGAAAAAAATAAATTACAAAAAAACCAATAAGGTTTAATAAAAACAAAAACATGTTGACAAGAGAAAGAACCATGTGTACTTTAATTTGTGGGCGTTGTGGCTTAGAAACATTAACATAAATTTTGGCAAGCCCCTGCATCTGGAGGTCAAGTGACTGATCACCAAAATTATTAAAACTATAAATATATAATCGTTCCTTTTTTATATTTGGTATATTCTAATATTTTAAAGATTTTTATTTTTACACAAATTTCATTCATCAAAATCATAAAAAAGAGAAGCGTGCCCATAATGATATTTTCTTTGCGCCCATGATCCGTCCATTCGCAAACATTTGTATGTGTGTGTCTATGTGTAGAGGTCGAAAATAAGAAATCCCAAAATTTTGTTATATTTGCATCGGGGACAGGCAAGCAACAGGCACACAAGCGCATAAATGCTTCTATTCATATACAAAATATACAAGTATGCGTGAATAGCGAGTCCAAAATATTTTAAATGCACACATGCCAACGCTTGGGTACCCTTACCAACGATAGCAAACTAAAATGCCAGCATTTCGCATCGACGTAGCAAACCCTTTCTCTATTTCATACTTAGAAAGGGTAGAAATGCCTCAGCATTTGAGAAAAATTGAATTTGTGCGCAGTTTTGCTCGTCGGACAAATACACACACACACACATTTAAACGATCCTTAAACATAAAGAGAGAGCATTGTTGGCTGAGAGTAAATGCGAGCGAGATAAAAGTTAACAGCGTTGCCGTTCTATCGCACAAATCATATGGAAGAGAGTGCGCCAAGTACTTTCCTGTAGAGTAAGCGGTTCAAAAATACATCATATGTATATTTTACTCCCTTACTCTCGATTTTGGACCAGATGCCTCCGATACTTTTTGTGACAACGCTATTCGTATGGGATGTCCAGTCTATATGTTGTTTGGTTAGTGGCTGTATGTATGTGATGTCCAGTCTATACGTTGTTTGGTTAGTGCTTCTGCTTAGATGTAGGCTCCAACAGCGTCACTGATAAAATTAGTTGTGAAAAGGGGCACAGCTGGCCAGACTGGCAAATAAAACACCTCCATCGGTCGGTGATGCTATTTAGAAAATTGTATTATTTAACTAGGCTTTTAGCATATAATTCTATTATCTTTTATATAATCTTTTGAATAATGAGGAATAATAAATAAATAAATAAATAATCATAAAAAACACGAAATATTCGGGGAGAATTTACACATTTTTCAAAAATATGCCTTGTTAAAGATGCGTGAAATATGTTTTTTTTTCTTATGGGGAAACGCACAGGCTGCATTTCATACATTTTGCAAAAATTTCACATTTTCAGAAATGTGTTTATGCGTCCGCCTATGTTCCTCCTTCTTGTGACATTCAAATTTTTATGAAGATTTTAGTTGTATTAAAGAAATTTTTCACCTATTTAAAGTGTTAGGAAATTTTAATTTACCGAACATCTCTTGGTCATTATTC